TGCTTGCTGGCTTTTATGTATGTGTATGTGTGCGTGTTTATGTGTATGTGTCTGTGTGTGTCTGTATGTGTCTGTATATGTGTAAATTATTAACATATTTTTTAGGATGTTTGTTTTATCTGCATCTGTGTCTTCGTTATCTATGTTTGTATTATCTATGTTTGTAAATGTCTATGTTTGTTCCTATATATGTCTGTATTTTTTTTTAAATGATCTTTTTAATTTTTTTATTCTCAAGATAAATAAGTTGGATAACTTATGAAACAAAAGTATAAGACAAACACTCACGTAAACTCACAAACATTCCCACAAACATTCCCACAAACAAATTCACAAACATTTACACAAACAAATTCACAAACATTCCCACAAACAAACTCATAAACATTCACACAAACATTCACACAAACATTCACACAAACGTTCACGCAAGCATAAACCATGCGTAAACGTACGCATCACGCAACAACTTACAGCGCCATCAAACGACAGACGTGCAAATTTTCCCGCGCCAAAATACGGTCTCTGGTTCCCGCCAAAAAAGGCGCCATTCTTCCCTATTTAAAAGTGTTTATTTCTGAGTAAATATACAGCGGTGTATTTTGGACGTGTGTGCGTGTGTGTGTGCGTGCGTGTGTGTGTGTGCGTGTGTGTGTGTGCGTGTTTATGGTGTGCGTGTTTGTGGTGTGTGTGTGCGTGCGTGCGTGCGTGTTTAATTGTTGTATGCGATTGTTGTAAAGGATTGTTGTATGTGCTAACATTTGCTTCAAAAACAGTCGGCAAAACAATTATTTGAAAGATTTTCAGGTATGTATTGTATATGCGTGGCCTTAATTCTATGTCTCGTACGTGATTGTAAAATGAACATTTGGTGTTATAATATTTTCAATTTATTATTTCAAGCCATTATACACGGCGTGTCCAAACCAAAGCCAATATTGAAAAATTATCGCAGATGCAATATCACTCACTGGTGATCTTACAACGATATTTTCAACCCTCTACCCATATAGACACATCTTAAAACATATGACTATTAAAAAATGCACATACAAACACCAACACGCACAAACACACACACACACGCACAAACAAACACACAAACAAATCAACACACAAACACACACTTGTACGATGTATGAAATGAGCGAGAGAAACACATTCATCTAGTCGTAGATGACCTTCTAATAGAATTAATTAAAAAAGGCAAGACAATGAAAATTATGTGTGTGTGTGTGTTTGTGTGTGTGTGCATGTGTGGGTTTGTTTATGTGTGTATGTGTGGGTTTTTTCGTGTGTGTGGATAATTGTGTGCGAGTGTGAGAGTGTGTGTGTGTGCATGTGTGGGTTTTTTTATGTGTGTATGTGTGGATTTGTTCGTGTGTGGGTAATTGTGTGCGAGTGTGAGTGTGAGTGTGTGTGCGTGTGTGTGTGTGTGTGTGTGTGTGTGTGTGTGTGTGTGAACCTAAACTGACCCTGACCTGCCCACGTAACAACATAGCTTACTCACGTTTCAGTATTTTTTTTGTTTAAAATGTTTTAACTGGAACACCCATGACGTCATGTGGCTAGGAAGAAATTAAACACTGACGACGATGACGATGATGGTAATAGTTCTTAGAATGGGGACATTATTTTTAACGCTGGCAATAAGCATTATGATGTGAGATGTTCATCTTATTTATAATGACTGCCTTCAATATTCTCTGCGCGCAGTAATACTTCTTTGTTGTTGGTGTCTTTGTTGTTGTTGATGTTGTTGTTGATGTTGTTGCTGCTGCTTTGTTGCTGCTGTTTTTAATGTTGTTGATGTTGTGGGTGTTTTGATGATGATAGTGTTATTAATTTTGTTGATGTTGTTGATGTTGTTGCTGCTGCTGTTGTTGTTACTGTTGTTGTTGTTTTGATGTTGTTGATGTTGTTGTTGATGTTGTCAAAATTTTACCGCACGATTATCATTACTTGCCATTTTAATTGTTATTATTTATTTTCTTTGGTCGTCATGGTGACGTGACGCTATGTTGTTTATGTTGTTTTTGTTTGTATCAATGTTTTTGTTTTTCATGTTTTTGTCACTGCGTTTGCGTTTTTATGATTTTTTTTTGTTTTAATTGCTAAGAAGAACATAACATATATTTCTTTTCTCAACCGCTTGTGACACTGATGATGATGGATGATAATGATAATGAAACTGATGATGATGATAATGAAACTAATGATGATGATGAGGAGGAGGAGGAGGAGGAGAAGGATGAGGATGATATTAGTAATAGTAGTAGAAAAAACGATATAAGTAATAGTTGTAGTAGTGGTAGTGGTGTTGTTGGCATTATCATTATCGTCAACATCGTTGCTATTACTTTCTGTTGTTGAAAGATTAAATTCATTAATTGCCTATCATACTCTCAGTTGTTTTTCATTTGACGTCATCTTCATCGTCGTCGTCACAATTATGGTGAATATCATCACGATGATTATTATTTTCAATATTATTATTTTATTAGTAACATTAGCTTTTGTTTTTGAAAAGAATGGAATCATTAATTGCATATAATATTTCCGGATGTTTTTGAATGGATGTTGGGCGGTTCAACCCACCATTCAAATGACTCCAACACGATTCACCTATGACACCAATTAATCATTTGATGTTTTTGTTGTTGTCGCTGCTACTTCTGCTGCTGTTGTGGCTACTGTTCGTTTATTGACTCTTTCTTATGTTTATTCCTTCATTCATTTGCGACATTCGTTCGTTCCAGCTATCATTCTTTCACTTTTTTGAATAATTCATTTGTTTGCACTTTTGTATATTTCTTTATTCATTCGTTCGTTCTTTTACTCGCTTATTTTTCCTGACAACAGTTGCAGCAGCTGTGGTAGCAGCAGTAGCAGCAGCAGTTGCAGCAGCAGTGGCAGCAGCATATGCAGAAGTTGCAGCAGCAGTTGCAGCAGCAGTGGCAGCAGCAGTGGCAGCAGTAGCAGTAGCAGCAACCATCGCCGACATCATCGTCATCATCTTCAACACTCCGGCACACCACCGCCATACATCACCAGCCAGCTCATAATGCATGTGTAATAGAGCATCTCATTATTTAATGTCAGCTCATGTAACATTAGTAACGACAGTAATTATAGTTGTAGTACTAGTAGAAATAGTATTTTAAAAGCGTTTATATCAGTACAATTATTAGTAATTTTAACAAAAGTGGTTGTAGTAGTAATAGTAGAAGTAGTAGCTGATGTAGTAGTGGTAGTAGCAGTAGTGGATGCAGCAGTAAAAGTAGTAGTAGTAGTAGTAGTAGTCGTAGTAGTAGTAGTAGTAGTAGTAGTATATGAAAAAAATTTCTCATATTAACAAAACTGTTAATGAAATTTCGAACCATCCTTATGGCTGTCAAAACATTAATCAACTTTATAATGGTAAAAATAATACGAAATATTTTCTTGTCAGCGTTATCTTATCACAACTTCAATATCAGCGTTCTTTGTTGTGTGTGTGTGTGTGTTTTTGTGTGTGCGAGTGTATGGATGTATGGATGTGTGTGTGTGTGTTTGTGTGCGCGTGCGTTATCATACGTTATCAGAATCTTACGTTACGTCAAAAATTAATAATAACAAAAATTTTTTTTATTTCAAAAATACAGAAATTACTCTTTTTATATCTACATTAAAAGTCACTATTGCTGCTTTTGCTACTACTACTACTACTACTACTACTACTACTACTACTACTACTATTACTACTACTACTACTACTGCTACTACTACTACTACTGCAAAGTTTTATAGTATGTTTGACCTACATAACATATAAAAAAAATTTTGACATTGTTTTGAATTGAAAAACTTTGAAAAAACAAATTTTGGTAAAATGTTTTTTGCTTTTCTTAGAGTGGAAAAATCAGTTTTTTTGTTTGTTGGAAAAATAGAATAAAAGTATTGAAAAGTATGAAAAATCATTCAAAAAGTAAAAATTTTAAGTTATAAGAATTTAAAAATTTGCCAAAAAATTTTGAATAGCAGTTGGTTAAGAAAAAACTTCTCATAGTTCTTTGTCTCTAGGCTACATAAAAAATATAAATTAAAATTTTTTATCGGCAAAAATATTTATAACTTCAATGCTACTACTGCTACTGCTACTACTACTGCTGCTGCTATTACCACTATTGCTGTTTTTACTACTACTCCAATAACAAAAACTAATGCTGTCATGGAGGCCGCTACATGTACTACTGCTGCAACTACTACTTACCACAAAGGCATTTTTTTCTAACAATAATTTAGTGCGTTGCATTGGAAACGAAATATCTCTGAAAAAATATTTCAAAAATTTGTGAAAAGAAGACGGTTCTGAAGTATAATTTTCAGAATAAATTTATCATCATAATTAATGACAAAGAACATAATAATAATAATAATAATGATAATAATAATAATAATAAAACTGATGTTCCATATAATTAACTGGCAAGAAATATTGATCAAAAAAGCGGACCGAATCATTTTAACGTGTGTTGGATGCGTGTTTGTGTGTTTGTTTGTGTGTGTTTGTGTGTGTTTGGGTGTGTGTGTCTTTGTTAGATGTATGTTTTTATTATGTTATTAATAAAATTATTCAGCAACGTTTTATTTAAATTTGTAAAATTTCAACATAATTCGAAGTAGCCAAACAATAGAAATGTTTCCCAAGAGATTGGATATAACGAAGCAATTTGTTTTACTTTCGTTCTGAAAGTTTAATTTTTTCTTTTGCTTAATAGTTGGCCATTCTTATTTTGGTCCAGTCCTGTCTACCCATAGTTGAACTATTTTCGAATATCTACGCATATTGTTAGCGTTTTTTTTTGTGTGTGTGTGTGCTAATGTATGTGTCAAAGTTTTGTGTGAGTTTGTGTGTTAGATTTTTTGAGTGTGTGTGCGTGTGATATGTGTGTACGTGGTCGTTTGATATGTTTAAAAAGAACGAAAGATGATTTAAAGGTCGATGAAATGCATCATTTAGGGAATTAAAAAATGGCACCTCATAAAACTGCATAACTAACCACATACAAACATACAAACACATATACAAACACACTCACACATACATAACTACATACATATATACAAACATACAAATATAGCCACACTGTTTACTACTCACAAATTCCGCAAACCATCAAAACAAACACACACACGCATGCACACGCACACACAGAGCAGAGATGCAACAGAAAATTGTAGAAAATTGTACAAATGAACTTAGCATACATTCATTGTATAAATATCAAACAACCAATTAACTTCTGATGAACTGAGCAAACACAACGGCTCATATTTGAAGCACAAGTACACGCACACACACACACACATTCAAACGCACACATACACGCACATGTATACAAACACGCACACGCACATGCAGAAAAACTTTAGCGAACAATGAATGATACTTTTGTTTTTCTGATATTCAATGTGTCAAATGAGTTTCTTTAACGATTCACTTACACTGAAACACGTTCAAAGATTTATATACAACTGATTGGTTGATTATACGAGTGAATGAATTCATGAATTAACGTAAGAATTAACGAATGCACGAATGAACGAACAAATGAATAAACAAATTAACGAACTAATGGTTTAATGATATATATATTATCATCGTCACAACAAAGATGTTCAGGCCTTCGTGAATCAAACCATAAATAGAGCTGAATTTTGTTATTATAGATCTGATATTTAAAACTCCCAGAACCACCGATCGCTCCACATTTCCAATTTTAGCAGGCTTACCTTTACCAGATGCTTCATTAAAACTTTCGTTGATTTTATCATCCTCAACATACTGAAATTTACCTAATGCACTTTTATTGTTACACCCCCTTTCACCACACACATCAAGACTTAAGATTTTATATTGACACCATATTTTATATTGTGCTTTACAGAAATCTATTTTCTCTTAATAATATTATACATATATCCAAAATAGAAATATAGAGTGTTATATGGCTGATGTTGTTGCGATAAATGGATAGATGAATGAATGTATAAATGAATGAATAAATGTGTGAATGAATTTATAAATGAGTGAATGAATGAATGAATGAATGAATGAATGAATGAATGAATGAATGAATGAATGAATGAATGAATGAATGAATGAATGAATGAATGAATGAATGAATGAATGAATGAATGAATGAATGAATGAATGAATGAATGAATGAATGAATGAATGAATGAATGAATGAATGAATGAATAAACAAATGTATAAATGAACGAATAAATGAGTGGATGGATGGATG